GATAATTTGTTTCCTGGAACGGCTTTATTTTCATTTTTAAAATTTCGTGGTTATAAGGCCATAGGAACCATTCGCGAAATCCGAGTTCCCAGAGAATATCTGTTAACTCCTAAAAATGAGTTTAAAAATAAATAGAGGTTATTTTAAAACAGCTATTAAACGAAATGATGGACAATTATATGTCCGGTGGATGAAACGAAATATACTTGTTTTTAGTCCGAAATTTATCGCCAAGTATAACATATTTATGCGAGGAACTGATCAAATGGATCAGAATATAAGTTGCTACCGGATGAGGATTCGTGGCCAAAACTAGTATTAACCAATGTTTACATGAATGCTCGATGTTGCATTACAAAAAAGTTGGATATTGTATAATAAAACTGGCAGAGAAAATTTATCGCAATTAAATTTTACAAGAGAGATTGTAAGCACATATTTAGCGAAGTATAGTGTACTTAGCAAAGGAAGGGTAAGACTCTCGCCTTCCTTGACAACATCTGTCAATAGCAGAATATCGGATACAGTATGTACATTCCAGATAAGAAAAAGAAAATATGTGCGTCTAAAACATTCAAACCTATCGTTAAAACAATGTGTTGAAAATGTGATATTAGACTATGCACTTATTGTTTGACTCCGTTTCACTCTCGATAGTGTAAATTTTTATAATTAATCGCACCGAATTAGATTTTTTTATGAATAAATCTCTATTTTTCTTTTATTGCCAACTTTCCTATATCCCAAAGGCTTTAATTTTTCGTTGATTATGTTCAACAAAAACTAGTAGTGTAAGCGCCTACCGCTGCTTTAAAGAAACAATATCTCAGAAATGAAATACCTCAGAAAAAATATTTTATGAAGTTTTTTTATTATTTAAACACGGTCCAATAATAATATTGCAAAAAATAATACAAAATCAATAATTTATAAATTTTGGCGCTAATGGGTTAAAGGTAAAGCTTTTGTACGCAATTTTTGTATTTTGCCGCAAATAAACTGAGTTTTAATAAAGGCGTTAAATAAATATACGTGGCGCTATTTTTGCCAATGTTTATGATTCTCATGAAATTAATACAATTTATTCCTTTTAATAACCGGCCACTGTAAAGTTTCGATAACTGCAGCCTAATCTTTAAAATTCCTAACATAAAATTTTTAGTTTTAAGTTTTGGCAACAAATGTGAGGCATTTGAAATAACCATAAAAATGGTGAATTTAAACTTTCGCATTACAAAAGAACTAAAGCATATAAAACTCTTTTTCAATTACGCTATAGTTTATTTTTATGAACGAGAGAGTAATTAGCATAATTTTAACTGGTACCTCCGACCATTCCATGGGCGTGCTCAAGATTAATTGAAAAATTACTTTGAATAATTGTAAAAAATAAATGAATTATTTCAGTGTTATAAAGTGTTATGTGTATGTAAACAAAAGTGACCTCTTTTATTACACACTATATTAGAACTGACTGGCCTGCATTAAAAAGGGTTTTAAAAAATTCACATTTTTTTAATTTTTAAAAATTACAAAAGAGAAAAAGAGTTTTTAAAACCGTCTAAGGTATGTTAAATAGATGAATAAAAATATTAATATAAAACTTACAGCTACTTGTTACAAATCCAAATCAGATTCAGAAGATGAACTTTCAGAACCAAGATTTATAATAACTGGCTCGATCATTTTATCAGTAATATTGTCCAGCTTCCACAGTTTTTCCTCTTCTTTAATAGTGTGATTTACTGCCTTTTCCCAGTTTTCAGGTTTTACATTATTTACGGCCTCCAAAAACAACTGTTTAACATCATGAATTTTAAAAGTGGTATTTTTTCTTGAAACTTCACTCTTTATCTGTGCCCATACCAGTTCAATTGGGTTTAATTCACAATGATATGGTGGGGATCTAAGTATTGTCATTCCACGATTTTTGGCAATTTCATCAATTTCGTATTTTTTAAATTTTTCTTCATGAAGGGCACACAACGAATAAAGTTCCTTTCTTGTAGATCCGGGATGGTACGTAATATTTTTTGAACTCAGCCAATTCTGCAAGTCTTTTTTTAACCACTTGGTTGTGGGCAGTCCTTCTATAAGTCTGGAGTGATAACTTGCATTATCCATTACTATTACACAGTTCTTAGGAAGAATATCTATCATTTGTTCGAACCATTCTTGAAAGACATCAGCGTTCATGTCTTCATGGTAGTCACCGGTACGAGTTGATTCAAAAGTTAATAAACCACCTTCAACAAAACCGTCTGAACTGCCAATGTGTACTATTAGCCTGCGTCCCTTTCCTGATGGTGGGTTTAAACCTGTAGATAAGTTATTTACAAAAGCGTGCCTTTGACTTGTAGCAGTTTCATCCTGCCAAAATTTATTTGGTGTATGACCCTCGTTGATCCATGTTTCATCAAGATAAAATATTTTTCTTTTTTGGTTTCTCATTTCCTTTATGGTTCTTAGAAAATGTCTTCTCCATATGACAATATCGCTTCTTTCTAATAAAATAGACTTTCTGGGATTCTTTTTCCAGCGGAAGCCTATTTCTTTTAAAAGTTTCCATAACGTACTTCGACTCATTTCTGGGTAATCCTTATCATCTCGAACTGAGACAAGAACTTTATCCAATGTTGGAAATTCTTGTCTAAAGAAGAATTCATGCACTTTCCGTCGAAGTCCTTCTTTAAAATGATATTCTATTTCAAATTTTGGTTTCCCTGGAGCATTACGTGGCATTGGAAAACTACCACATTTCTCTTCTTTAATAACTCTGTAAATCGTAGATTTCCCAACACCAAGTGTACTGCTATCTAACTCAACGGTCTCATCAACACTTTCACATAAACGTTTATCTGTAAATGATTTAAAACAATTAAATAATAATGTTTTTTCATTAACTGTTAAAGGACCAATTTTTCGGCGTTTACACGGCACTTCCAAATTTTCCATAACACTAGTATACACAATAAACTGCACCTTGCAACTGAAGTACCGACTTTTAGTGAACTGTTAAGAATTTTGAATACGCCACTTGGACCTTCCTACAAAATGGAAAAACCCACTATCACATTTTCTGTGGAATAAGTTTAGAAGGTAATTATCTAGTCAATTACTGTCGTAGATTCCTGGAATTAAAGAATTAAATGTTTGATTTTTGAAACCCTTACTTCGTGGAATGCACTCATTTCAGATAAAATAAAACGTTTTATTTTATCTAAAGAATTAAACTTTATTTTGCAAATAGGTAGGTACTTATTAAACTTTTATTGGTTATATATAACCAATAAAATAAACATCTTACATTTCTTGCAAATTCATTAGTACCTGTTAACTTCCATCACTCCGACACTGGCAACCTTATTTAGGGATTAGTAACCCTCACAACTATTGTATTCTATTCTGCTCCAACCTTTATACCTGGTGGTCATACTCAATTTAAAATTGTTTTCCTATATACTTCTGTAAACTTGTTGACAAATATCTGTTTTTCATTGAGTCACCCGTATCAACAGTTTAGGGATTTGCATACATAATTTATTGTTTTATTACTCTCTCATACATAAAAATACACTATAGTACGTTTTTCCAAACTACCTATCTTTTGCCACAAATTACACTCCAAACCATCTTCTTGGAGGCATCATGACGTGCGATCATTTGAAATGGAAAAGTTTAAATTCTGTGTTTTTTAGTTATATTTCAAATGACTCATATTTGTTGCCACAACATAAAATTCAAATTTCATGTTATAGGTTTTAAATATTAGCCTCTAGAAATAAAAATTATTTCACTGTGATTGGTCAATTAAAATGATAAATTTTATTGATCTCACGAGAATTGTAAAAAAACAAAAATCGTGTAACATGTATTTATTGGCCAGATTTTAGCACTGACTTAACTGACTTTATTTGTGGCAAAATACAAAACTTGTACAAGAAAGATGCAATCTTTTCCTTTAAAACATATGATTTTTGTCGATAGTATATTCTGATCAAAAGATATCGAATTTTTACCGTCGATTTGATACACATTTTATCTAACATCGATTGTGCGCGTGCAACTAACATTCAAAACAACCGGTCTCTTCAAGCGTTATTTCTGAGAAAATGGTTCATTCTACAGAAAGGGTGCTAATTAACAATTGTTTTTAAAATCATATCAGCTACATTTTTTATTTAAAACATTTTTTTCTACGGCCAACAGGTTCTTGGTAAATCGATTTTTGTGAGTTTTTATCCCCCTACTAGGGGGTTTTACAGAGAAGCCTGGGGTAAAAATGGTAAACTTTTTTGTAACTTTTTTGGGGTCCCAAAATTTAGCTTGTTTGCATAATTTTTATGAGTCAAATCTCTGACGACTGGACTAATGATAAAAATATTTGAATTGAATTTATTATTTTCAAGACTTTAGGATTAGTTATTTGATTAGTGTACCTACTGTAATAGTTATGTGTATATAAAGCATAGAAACGTATTTCCTAATATTTTCTCTTCTGTTATATATTAATATTAAAAAAAAACTCACAAGGCTCTCATATCCAATAAAACGAATTAAACAACTCAATTTAACTTTTAACGATCTCTCTGCTTTCTAAATTTATAAAAAATGGCTTTTTAATGATTTTACGCACTAAACAAAAAATTGTTAATTAATTAGTAACTTTAAGGGGCGAGTTTTTATCGAAGTTGCTTCATTAACCCCACGCTCAAATATTGAGCTACTTGTGTGCTAATTTTCTTAATCATTCTTTAAGTTATTGGTCGTGCTTGGAGAATATTTTCTTTGTAAATGCGTAGTATTTTCTCTATTTACTATAAATATATATAACTGAAAAATATATGCAACGAGTTTCTTCTAGCGTTGTAAAAAATAAAAAAGGTTTTTTAATAATTCTATCAAATTATTTAATATTTTGGTTCTATTGAACACGAAAACAAGAAAAAACCAAACAAAAAAGTAAATAAAAAACATACATAAATAAAAAAAACTCTTACCTTTTCGATCATACTCTGCGTACGTCCAATATACCCCTTACTGCCACTACAACCGGCTTTCAAGCTCACGGGTTCATACTGAATATCGTTGAGAGCGTCATAGTTGACAAAACTAAGGTCATTATAACTAACACTAATATCAGTCTCAACCAAAGACTGTAGCGACTGCCTCCACTCTTGGTTTTTCTTCTCAGTTAATTTCTCCCGAGACGACGATTTGGTCGGTTTCTTAGTCACTTCGCGGAAACTCAACGACCGTTTTATCGCGTTCGCGGGATCCTCACCGATATGGATCAACTTCCGAAAAAACGATGGAGTTCTTTGTAGCACCGATTTGTGACTGTGCTGGCTTAGCTCAACAGCCGAGGCATACTTTTTGCTCTTACCCAAAGAGTTCGATGTAAAAACCGGCAATTGAGCCAAATTGTCCTGCTTTTCTTCCTCTTCTTTGCTCTCCTTGGTTTTCTTGTCCTTTTTGCCAAAAAGTGAATTAAATGATATTCGTTTCTTCTTCTTTTCCTTCTCTTTAACTACCGGAGGTTCTAAAGCAATTGATTTGTTGTTGTGTTTGTTATCTTTGGTGTAATCGTTGTTTTCATTTTCGTCTATCACGTAGTTTGTACCCGTAAACGTTTCGCTGATGGCTCTTCTATGCAAATTTACGTAGTTGTTTCGAACCTCAACAACATTTTCGTCATCATCGAGAATAGATACCCGCCTATTCAAGTCTCGTGTTTGCTTTTCCTGAAAGCTTAGACTAGTTTTTCGCGTCATTACTGTATTGGGTTCTGCAATATTAAACGCATTTTCAAAGATATCATTTAAAATACTTTGAATAAATTCTTCGATGTTATTTTTAGTGGCTTCTTGGTTATTTTTAAGCGTATTATTGTTGTCTTCGATATTATTAATTTTGTTTATGGACATTTTACTTAAAGCTTCTGGTAACAGGACTCCTTTGTCGGGATAGCAATTCTGATCGATGTGTATTTTCGTGGAGGTGTTGCATGAATCCTTTGCTACCATATTCACTTCTTTCTTTATAACCTTAAAAAATTACATTTAGATAGTTGTGGTTTTATTAGTATCAAAAATAGAGAACTTGCAAGAACGTAACCAAATGGGTTTTTTAACACCTGTTTCATTTTATAGTCAATTTTATGCAAATCATTTAATGTAAGAATAATCTAGTGGGTGATGTTTCCGTCAATAATAATCTGCCTAATTAGTAATATTTAAAATTGTCATAAAGACTTAATTTTAATTATAATCAAGAACAAAAATAATAATAATAATGTAGCAAAACTAGCAGAAAATAATAAACAACTATTTGACATAGCCTCGACCAACTTCTATATCTCTGCAGTCTTTTTATAAGCGTTTCTTAGCTGGTCTGAAGTGATTTTATTTACTGCATTAATTATCGCTTATTTAGAATCCTTACAATTACGGTTTAAATTTGTTTTTTAAGTAAGTTAAGTAAGTTTATAGTTTAATAGCCCTCTTGTCAGCAAAGTCGAATGATAAATTATAACTGCAGTCTTAAAATTTGCCAAAAAAAATGTATGCGGCATATTTGATAGCATAAAATCTGCTCAACGGACACAGAGTCATCTGAGTTAATAGATGGTTAAATTCAAATAGGGACCCTGTTCTGTGGAGTAAAATACGAACCCACTTCTTTTAGGTAATTATATATAAACAATCTTGATCTAGTGCAGCAGCTAAGTCAGAATGCATTAAAAAAATCAGAATGGCTTTAGGTGAGAATCTCGTGCAGAAGTCATATAATGGCGGTATAACTGAGAAAAGTTTCCTAGTTCAACTATCATATCTGAGAATGTAAACAACACGGTCCCCAGTTTTGGTAGGGTTCAATCGTGATAGAGTGCTAAAAATTTCCCAAATAAGAATATTTTAATAAGTAACAGAAAAACTTAGTAACATATTCGCAAGGATATGCAACAGATACGCAAAGAATGAGCATCGACATTTTAGGCGTCAGGAACGAAGAGTGGCCAGATTCAGGAAAAATCAATCATCTACATAGATTTATGTATTATTCAGACAACAGTGTATGACATACAGATAATGTGTTGTCATCTAATTTATTAATAGAATAAGCAGACTAGTAGTGAATTTATTCTCCTACTCTGATCTGAGCTGAGCAGTATCTTTTTATAACTTCAAACTAAAATGTGTGCTTCCATAGCAGATAAGGATGAAGAAATATAATAGTTTTGTGTCATTCTGGAAGAAATATTTAATTCGACAAAGACTAACCAAGCTACTTTTTCGAGCATACGAAACCCTTTTCGAACATTCTGCTGTTATCTTATCAATTTACAAGAGATTTGTTCTATGTGGACTTTGGAATTTAGACCAAATTTTCTTATCCATTTGCAACGAAAAAATTAAAGGAGAATATTCGGGCTGTAAAGTGTAAAGTGTACTGCACAAAAAATTTGACAACGACAGGAAATATCGAATGTATTTGCAACATAATCCTGACTGTGAAAAATGCTTATTATATGAAAAAAATAATATCAAAAAAATTCTCGACGTATCAGTTTTAACTTCGCCAAATATAGGACGAAACCACAAACTAATACTTGGCAAGTCCTTATTAAAAATACCACTTAGTAACAAAAAAAAAAACAATCCAAATACTTTGAAAAATTAAACAAAAAGTCTCACTAAAAGAAAAAAACTATAAACTTGTGTACCAAACGCTTGGAAAAGCAGCTTGTGACAAATCGAATAACGGGGGAGAAAATGTAAACAAAATGTAAGCAAAAATAGAATGTTTCAAATTCAAGCTGTAACAGAATAAATGGGTACAAGCTGGGAAGAAGACAAAGAAAAATCCTTATTTAAATCTGAAAATATTTCCGTGTGATATGTTTTTTATACTAAATATAAAACTTAAACAAAAATCGTTAACTCTAAATGATATTTTAAATTAAAAATGAAAAAAAAAAATATACATTACAATGGTTTTCGTTGTTAAAACCTTATTAGAAAATACATTAAAAATTTTAACTAGGTATATTATAAAAAATATCATCAAATTATTAGAAGGTATAATAATTGGGTTACTAAGGATTCTATAGCAAATGAGTAACGGGAAAAAGCATTTGGATATCTTTGAACGTGTTGACAGCTTCACATACCTTGGCTCGCTAGTGTCTACTACTAATAAAACATGCGAAGAAATTAAAAGACGAGTAAACCGTACAAACAGGGACATATCATGGACCCCAAAAACAATTCCACCCAAGAAATATCCAAAAAAAAACATAAAATTATTATATACAAAACACTGCTGAGACCGGTCCTTACATACGAGGCGAAAGCATGGACTCTAACGCAGAAGGATGTAAGACTGCTGAAAATATTTGAGAGTAAGATACTCCGCAAAATATTTGGAGTTATAAACAATCAAGGGCAGTGGCGCAAAAGATTTAATTTCAAATTATACCAATTCTTTAATGTTGTTGTACCATCAAAACTACATTGGGGCTTTCCTCTCACACTATAGGATATTAGACTCATCGTCAAAGCATTCCTCGACCGTTCTGGAAGAAATGAACATAGATTTAAAAACAACATGCCAGGTAGAGATTTTGTCATGCCTTTCTTGAAGCATCACCAGAACACTTTGAATAATAAAATGTGCCAAAACATAAAGAGATCTCGAGCTTAAGTCAACCCTAACGCCATAAATATTTACTTTGATGAGTTAAATCAGGCAATGGAGGGAGTTCTTTCTCATTCTGTCATTAATTATGATGAAACAAATATGACAGACGATCCTGGTCGTAAAAAAGTTGTTGTTAGAAAAAGGTGTCGACATTCTGAAAGGATTATTGATTTTTCTAAGTCAAGTACGTCTGTAATGTTTGCCGCTGCCGGAGACGGGACACTTCTTCCTCCATATGTAACATACAAAGCTGAGAATCTTTATAATACCTGGACCGAACATGGCCCTAAGGGGACAGTTTATAATAGAAGTAAGAGTGGCTAGTTTACTTTGGAGAGATTTGAAGATTGGTTTCGAAAAATTGCCTTGCCTTATTTCTCGAAACAAGATAAAGAGGAGAAAAAAGTAATGATTGGGGATAATTTGGCGAGCCATATATCCCCATATATAATAGAGGAATGTAAAAAAAAAACGACATAATCTTCATCCTACTTAGCCCAATTAGCACTGGACTTAATCAGCCGTTAGATGTCGCATTTTTTCGCCCACTTAATAGCGTGAAACTTTAGATTCTTTGAAAACAAAAAATCGTGGAAATGTGCCAAAAGATACATTTCCTCGTTTATTAAAAAAATATCTGGAGGCAATGGGGAGAAAAATCTTTCACAAAACGTAATAAGTGGATTTAAAGGAGCAGGGTTAATTCCACTAAATCGAGGAGAAGTCTTGAAGAGGCTTCCCAGTAAACAGGCATTAGAGGATGGCAAAGAAAGTGAGAATACCGTTGCCTGGGTAACTACATTTCAAGAATATTTAGAAGAAAGTACAAGGAACGAGACAGATGGTTTAAGAAGACGAAAAAAAAGAAATTGAATGTTCCTGCTGGTAGAGGAATCTGTGAAGAGGATATAATAATTTTGGAAGACAAACCAAAGCTAGAAAAAATGAAAACAAGCCAATTAATGGAAAAAAATAAAGAAAAACCATCATCTAGTAAGACAAGGCAAAAAACAAGTAAAGTAATTATGTCTAGTGAAAATGACGAAGACAGTTGCAATAAGGTTGTATTTGACGACAGTTCAGATGATGACTGGGATTCATTTCAAGCAAAACAGATTGACAATATTGAAGACAATATTACTGAAGAGACTAATGACCAGGATAACATTTACTCTCATCAAGATAAATATCCTCTGCAGCCAATAAATAAACAAGTTGGAAGCTTTGTCATAGTTAGTTATGACTAAAATTTTTATCCTGGGGTAATTGAAAAGATTGACGGTAAAGGCGCAATAATAAGTGCAATGACAAAGACTTCACGAGAAAACTGGAAATGGCCCAAACCTAAGGATGAACTGTATTATTGCTGGCAGGACATTGTAGGTGGTATTAAACCGCCTAAAGCCCTAAACAACCAAGGTATTTTTTCAGTACCCGAACTAAAATTGCTGTAATTAATTGATTTTAAATAAAAGTTTTGAGCTCTGTCTTTTTTATTAACCCAAAAAAATATTCTGAATGTCTTAATTTAATATAACACTTTATAATTATATTTTTGGTGTCCCAAGTTACCTTATCAATGCGTAATTTGAGTCACTTTTTGAATTTATACGACTGTCTCAAGTTACCCCATTCTAGTGTGTAACTTGAGACAGACATAAAAAAAAATTGAAAAAACTACTTGTGACAAAATAAACAGAAATATTCTATAAAGATATCATAGTTACCTGCGCGACTAATGTTTTCAAATAGTTTTTGAACATTAATTTTTTTCTCCGTATGTAATAAACTTCAGGTTTAAGTTAAAAAGTGTCTCAAGTTACCCTAAATTACGGTACTTGTTTCAATAAAAAAATTCACGTTAAGGTAAAATCAATAAAAAAACTAATAATAATCTCTGTGTTTTAATATATACTCATTAGTTACCACTTTTATGCACCTAATCAAAGAAACAAACTTTTTTGAAATCAGTGTATGAACAACTTACAATGATTTTCACTTCCAATTCTTGAAAGACTTGGTATTGTAACTCGACCTAAATCAGAACCAGTCGTTTTAACAGTAATGCAGTATGTGAAAGTGAAAAGCTGAGGAAAAGATATAAAATATGGATTAAGAAAACTACAAAAAATATTAAAATTAACGAAGTAAAAAATAAAATGTGGATTTTTTTTTAAATCGCTCTCTTCTATACTAAGCAAAAGTGAGTTAAAATATATTTTATATCAAAAAAAATTTAATTGTATAAAACCAAAAGGATGTTCAATGTCAAAATAGTCAAACAGGAAATATAAAATATTATGCAGTATATTACAATTTAGAAAACAAAACGACATTAAACTGC